GGAGGAGCCTACTCACCTGCTCCTGTTTAAAAGCAAGCGGAAAGGAACTCTGTCTGCAATGATTCATATCGCAGTGGCTGATTGTTCCCTAATACAAAACAAAACGTTTTGGCCAAAATTTGTAAGCTGCAAACCATGGCAAGTAAATGCCATGGAAAAAAGAATGGCGATAGCCGATTTCAAGCGACCCAAAAGGGAAACTATGCAACTTACGTATGATGAATAACATTCCTGTTATGATAACTCGACGCAAATATCGCTCATGGTTAATAAAGCGTGACACAGGAAACCTTGTACCTGTGACATTTGTCAACAGGATTGAGGCGGATAATATGCAAGACAACAATTCCTTGACAACAAATACGGAACCAATAAAGAGTATGACACAGATCCCCCATCAGACATCAACCCAAATGCCACGCAAACCAATTCCCGTAGTCGTCTCTCAATCTCGTAAATCCTCAACGAACAATAAAGGGGCAAATATGGAAAATTTCATCAGAATTAAAGTTCCTATATCACTTGTGGGATCTTTACGGATTTGAATAGAGCTTAAAAAATTAGTTTATAAGTTCTACAACCCTTTTTGATATAGTTAAAAAGTTTCGGAAATATTTATATCTAAATATGACGATTTGCCTAAATTTCCGTCGTGCTCGGGGGCCTGGGACTCAGGAACCGAGCTCTTGTCAAACATAATATAATCAATTGTAATTCTACTTTGATCTTCCAATAACGTTAAATATTTTGAGAAAAACTCGCCCAGTTGCTACAGCTATACACGACACACCGTTGGCAATTGAGATCGGTGGCTATGGAGTCTTTCGATAAGATGAATAGAAAAGGAGCACGGCGAGGTGTGTTTATATACAAAAGCTTCCTCTGTAACGAACGTTATACCGAATGAAAATGGATGTGAAGTTTTGTGGATCACAATCAAACCACGACGATTACCTAGAGGTTTCTCGGTGCCTATCGTAGCGGTCCTATACCAGCCTCGTTCCCAGGCGCTTTAAATAAAACAAAATATCATGAAGAACGCTACAGGCCTTTTACATAGATCAGTGGCTATACAGAGCGAGCACGCAAGGAATTATGGGGAGGACGCAGAGAAGGAAGCGTCCTTCCCAAAATTCCTTGCGTGCTCGCTCTGCATAGCCACTGATCTATGTAAAAAGCCTGTAGTGTTCCTATATTTTATTTTATTTAAAGCGCCTGGGAACGAGGCTGGTCCTATACCGTCCTCCCAGTGCAAATAAGACAATCATGCTAGAATACTTGTAATCATCCCTCGAATTACTGGAAATCAAATTCTCTAATTGTGGCTTAATCCTGGCTGGAGACTTTAACAAACTGCCTTCACGACATATTTTTCGCTAATTTCAACTCAAGCAAATAGTAAATTTTAGTACAAGAGGCTCAAATAAACTTGATCTGATCTTGTCTGATTTTTATGATCAGCCATTAAGTGCCCTCCACTGGGTTTGTCGGATCATCGTACTATTATCGCCCTATCTAAAGAGAGAACCCATGGTAACCAACCTAAGGAAACAACCTATGTGCGTGACAGGAGATCCAGCAGCATTCACCGTCTGGGAAGATTTCTATGTGAAGTTCCTTGGGATTTAGTGGTTAATCCAAATCAGTCTTGTAAACAAAATCTGAGTAACTTCACCAACGTTGTAAATTACGGATTGGACGCTCTATTGCCACTGAAGGCTGTAAAGGTTTAACAAGAATGATTAACCCTGGATGAACAACAACCTAAAACGTTTGATTAAAAAGAAGCAGAAGGCTTTCACAGAAAACTATCATACCCTGCATGTATAAACAGCTACGGAATAAAGTAAACCGATGCAGAAAAAATTGCCGTAAGTTATATTATGAAGCTAAAGTGAAAAAACTTAAACGTAATAATCCCAAATATTAGTGAAAAGAAGTGAAACGTCTCTGTGGTCACCAACAAAAGCCGACGAATAACATCTTTGCAAACTTGGAACAGGCCACACAAGATCTCGACTCACTTAGCAATTTGATAAACGATTGTTTTTTAGAACCTATGCGTGACTATCAGCCGCTGCCGGATAGCATCCCTATTATTACCGGAAATGATAGCCAAATTTGTTTGTGTTATATTTAAATCGTGTTAAACCGGGGAAATCTAGTGGTCCCGATTGTATGCCCAATTGGCTTCCGCGGAAGTTTACAGTTATCCTAGCAATGTCTATATCAACAATAATAAATACATCCTTTAAAGAAAACCAAGTGCCTGTCTCTTGGAAATTGGCTAATATCTGCCCTATACCGAAAGGTAAACAAGTGATCGACGTTAATAAAGATCTTAGGCCTGTATAGTGTATCCCTAACCTCAACACTCTCTAAAATTGATGAAGATGCCATTATTAAACACGATTTACAACCGAGAATAATGAATCGCCTAGACAGTAAGCAATTTGGTTTTATACCTGGCTCCAATACCACATTGACTCTTATTGCCTTAATCCATTGTTGGTCAGAGACATTAGACAAAGAGGGCGGATGTGTGCGATCATTGGTTACAGACTATCGGAAAGCGTTTGATCTTATTGACCATAATGTTCTGTATGGGAAACGTCTAGAAATAGGTCTTAAACCATCAACTTTGAATTGGATCACAGATTTTCTGAGAGGAAGATCACAGAGGGTAAAGCTCTCCTCGAAATTATACTCGAACTGGAAACCTGTTAATGCTGGTGTCCTGTAAGAGAGTAAGCTTGGTCCATGGCTGTTTTTGCTAATGATCAACGACCTTGTAATTTTTAACGATCAATTTGATGGAGTCATGATGAAATATGCGGATGATACCAATATCTCAGAGTACATCGTTGATCACACAGATAACAGCTCCTTGCAAGAAGTAACAGATTCTATTGTCGACTGGTCTAAAAGAAATAAATTCCAACTTAATCCCCCAAAATATATGGAATTTGTTGTGTCTTTCAAACGGAATCAACCTAGCTTTCCTCCCACTTTTATTAATGGATCACCTATTGAACGAGTAGAAAAACCATCGATCCTTGGTTTATCTATCACAAGGGATTTAGAATGGAAGGAACATGTGGACAAAATAGTTAATAAAGCATCGAAGCGAATTTATTTACTGAAACAACTCAAAAGGTTTGGACTTGACGCGAATGATTTAAAGTGCTTCTATGTTGCCTCAATAAGGTCGATTCTGGAATACTCATGTCACGTTTTCCACTACCAGTTTACCACAATATTTGTCAGATGAAATTGAAAGGATACAAAGGAGAGCGCTACGTATCATTTACCCTCAACTATCCTATGAAGATGCCCTAGCCATGTTGGGACTAAAGACTTTACACGTTCGAAGGGGTGATCTATGCAATAAACTTTTTAACTCAATTTTGAATGATGAGGGTTATAAACTTCGTAATTTACTGCCTCCTGAGGTAACATCGAAATATAATCTTAGGAACGACAATCTTTTTAATATTCCAAAATACCGTACTAATAGATTTAGAGATACATTTATAACATCTTGTCTGATAAATTTATAAGTAGTTGATATTTTAAAGTTGTATGTGCTAATTTTTATTGTAAAACCTATAACGTTTAATAATCTTGTAAATAGTTGTTAAAATATTTTTGTATACATAATCATGCAATTCAGTCCTATGGCTGCTAGATGATTTTAATAAACGGATTATCTATCTATCTATAAGGTCTACGCGTGGAGGGCTTCAAATCTCCATGATTACGCGTGATTAACACGAGCGGGCATCAAATTTCATAATTTTCCCTAGGGCAAATTATGAAATTTGATGCTCGTTTGCTATGCTTTCCCAAGCAAAGCGACCCTGGAAATCACACTAATTACAGGAAAGTGGCAAACATGTATATTTTTTGAGAATAAAGAATTTTTCTACTGTTTTTGAAGTTAACTTTAAATTTTCTCATATTCTAATCTAAACAGGTAATGTCTAGGAGTTAGCCCTTCATTGGCCTCAAACTATTCTTTGGTTCATTTTGACGCTAGATATAATAACAAATCACTTATTCACTGACACCTCGGGAAAGCAGTGTGTTTTGTTGACCCTCTACCGCTCGTTGTTCAACAACGGCGGTCACGGGACAACAAAGCACACTGTTTCCCTCGGCATCAGTAAATAAGTGTTAATTGTTCATCTTTAACACCTGAGGATCCCGAATGGACAATGTTGATTTACCAATGACAAATTAGCCATACCATTCGCACGAATGAACTTTTCCCTTACCAATGGACAATTACTTTACCATGCAATGGACACCATTGGTACCAATGGACAACATTTGAGAGCCACTTTAGCCGCGTACTATCACTGAATTTATTCAAGGTCAGAACGAATGCACAATGCCCATTCACCAATACCGAATTAGCATACCATTTGTACGAATGTACAAAGCGTATTTACCAATGGTAAATTATAGCCATACCATTCGTACGAATGAATTTTCCCTTTGCCAATAGACAGTTACTTTACCAATAAATTACATTGGTACCAATGGACAAAATTTTTATGGCTACCTTAGCTGCGTAGGGCATTCATTACTCCCCTTTATTCAAAGTCAGAACGAATGCACAATTCCCATTCACCAATGGTAAATTAGCATACCATTGGTACGAATGGAGAAAGTATATTTTCCATTGGTAAATTAGCCATACCATTAGCACGAAAAGACAACGTTAATTTAGCAATGGTAATATTAGCAATAACAATTGATATTTCCCTGTCCAAATGACAAAATGGCTAGTCCATTTGTTAAAGAAAATCCACGAAATTTACAATTGGTATGCTTGCTCGTTTCTATTGAAACATATATCTATAAACAAAAGCGTCTTTGTAAACAATTTTTTTTTGTACTGAGGGCCCTGGGACGAGACCGTTACAGGCAAAACTAGGGCGGTGAAGTAGGCATGTTTGCAGTTTAACAGAATTCTTTATGATATTGATTTTTAGAATGAGATTTGGGAGCTAGTTGAACATGTGGTTAAACGGCCGCTTGAAATTTTGAGCACAGAACACGTAAGTGACACATTGTTCGTAGTATGAAGTATGACAAACCTGCCATTTCTAACAATTATTGTTCGCTATTGGCTGAATGGCTGGAGAAATTCATTAATTTATTCATTCAATTTCATTTGAACCTAATAAATGAACTGGGAGACTACCAAACGTGTATCTTCAACGACACCGGCAGTACTAAATCGCCAATACATGATTAGACGAGACAGTAATCGAATATGGAGACCTGCATGAACATATCCTGGTTACTCCCGGAAAGATATGATCAGTGCTACTTCATATAGAGAGGAGGAGATGAAATTACATGGATGTTCATGCATTATTTTCTTTATTTTAGGCTTTTAGCAATGTTTCAGTAGCCCTCGATCGTGTTCTAAAATTTGTAAGAAATTTTGGACGCTCTATATTGCGTGGTTATTTCAATCGCGAGCGCTTTGACCCATTCGGAACATATTATGTGATGGACGCTTCAGCATCAGATGAAAAGTATTACGTCGTACCTGCAGAAAAATCCCAGCGCTTCTTCATGATCAATAATGATGAATATCCAAGTATTTGGGACGTGTTACGCAAATATCTCATCAATGTAAGTACGCAATGTAACTGTAATGTTTGCATGTATACCATTGACGAAAGAAACAAAAGCCAATCATTAACTGTATAATTATAAGGATATGATAGGAAAGTTCATTTTTTTGTTGGTGCCTGCATTGATTAATAAGGATAGATGGTCTTCATTCCACAATGGACACTTTTATGAAATGTCTTTATACAGAACAGCGTATCGTTTCTAATTTATTTTAGCATAACATAGAACGGTATGTGCACGAAGTTGAACTGGTTTTCCTTCACGATCTGTCAGAATTCGAGAAATTCGAAGTTGCATGTAGTACGGCAATTGAGGGAGATATTGCACCACAAATAACAGAGGTCAGTTTTGAGAACATTGGAGAAGAAGTTGTAGCAAAAGTCGCTGGTACCAGTATGTGGTTTGTGTATGAAGTTTCTATCGAAGGCGTAAATGGCAATGGAAACGATCTAAAAGTGGACGTAAAGAAATCGTCAGAGTCTGAGGTACAAACGAGAATGCGAGAGGCCAGTATTGTCCACAATGAAGCAGTGTCTGTACGAGTGAAAACACATTTTCAAAACTCCAGATATCTTTCAGCAATGGAAGTTCCTGCTAAGACCACAGTACGTATATGTATTTATATATATATATATATATATATATATATATATATATATATATATATATATATATATATATATATATATGCATGTAACTTGTAGATAATCAAAAAGGTTTTCCCCAGCAAAATATAACCAATATATGACTCCAGTGATACTAGTGCACGCCCAGGGGGGGACGTCTACAAAATATTACAACAGTGCACCATATTCCATCGATTTGCAATGGCGAATGATGGTAGAGGCAAAACAAATAGCTTTGCTACTGCCAGTCATTACCGCTGACACTCCACTAAATTTATCAATTCCATAAATGTATTATAGCATGGTGTAACACGGGGGAATTTCGTTTTAAAATATTCGGCATATTTTTTACATTTTTTAGGCAAAGCCAATCACAATTATGCCTAAATTTTTAATACTTTATGTAAGATGGTAAATAATGTACTTTTTACCCGAAGTAGTTAAAATTAATGCATTTTTATTGGGTTGCTAAAAATGTAAACAAACTTACTGATTGGTCTAAAACGAAATTCCCCTTGTTGCATAGTGTGGTTCATAGCACGTCCAAATACATAGAGGCCTTTAGCCTCCTATAGCCAACCAAAATTTAAAATGGCGACAGTGTAAACACACTGTTAGAACACCCAAAATGAAATTTTATTGGGCATAACCTCTCTTATATCTGCACTTTCTGGTTTACATAGGTTTACTTACAAGATTATAATAATTTTATTTTTAAGTTATAAACCACAGAAACAATATCAATAGATCTTAACTTAAGTTTGTTGACAACCAAGTCCTCATATGCGAAGCAATAAAAAATTCATGCACGAAAATAGCCTTCTTTTAATTAATACGGCACTGCTTGTTGGGCTGTAATTTTTTTTAACAAGCACTGTTTTCCCCCTTCTTCTTATTTCATTTTTTTTTGGCTTTTAGGCATATCCAGTGACAAGGAGGCAGCAACAGCTTGCAAAATATCGTCCACATGGCATTATTGAATTATGTTATCTAAGTGCATTATTAGAACGTCGTCATGAACACTACAGTTCCAAAAGATTTAAAACAATTGAAGCCTTCCTCAGAAACGCAGTTTCTGTCGTTCCACTAGAAAGCCTTTTCCATGCCATTGCTAAAGGTAAATTTGAGGTAATGCTGCAGTGTTGCGAAATATTTTGCACTGGTGACGCTATTCCATCAAAATATCCACCATCAAAATTTCTTGTTAATTTGATGAAAAATGCGCTGCAACGAATTCGTCATTTCCAAACTCAAATCCGATATTCGCAAAAGTCAGATGATATCTCTTTAGCCGAAGAGCGTCGACGGAAGGCGAGGGAATGCGAACTCACACTCTTGGAGAAGGAATTTGAAGAAATGGAATATCGATGTCATTTTAACCAACAGGAAGATAGAGATCATGAAATATATCGTGGCTTAAATGTCTTAAGATATGGCGTAAACAGATTACGGCGGCAAGAAGTAGATACAGTTTCGCGATCACCTTCTGAACTGGTAGAGCTGAATGAAATGCTAAACCGTACCATTTCCAAAATCGCTCCTTTCTTGACGAAGTTCAAAAACAACGGTAAACGGCGTAATCCCCAGCCCGAGTGCAATTTTAATTTAGAAGTCATTTATCCCGTGACAAATGTTGAAGACACGAGAGAAGATACTAAGGTTCATTACAAAGCACCGATGACATTACTGAAAGAAGGAAGAAAGGAGCTTATCAGTATAAGCGAGAAATTGATTGCCGAACAGTCCGGGTATAGCGAAGAATCTTTAACCTCCAACAGAAATAGCATGATGCTTAAAGTCTTAAATAGTTTGCGCAAAGAGTTTGGAACTTGTACTACCCTTCTTGGCACATTTATGGAAGCCCAAGTCCAGATTCCTCTGGAAAAGGTCGGGGGTGATACATATGTGAATGAACTCGCCAAACATGCACGATCTTTTGGTTTGTCGGTTTGGGGATTACTAGTTCTACCCTTTGGCTATTTGAACCAAATCATTGGACCTTCTGATGAATTTAGACAATTCGTGATTAAATTTTCGGATAATATCAAAAAATTTCATCGATCATTGCTTCCTCCTTCGGAGCACCAGTTTCCAGATTATGATGAGAAGTTAGAATTTCTGGTTGGAAGCATGAAGCAGAGCTGGATATCTAACCAGAAATATGTAAGCTATTCCCTTGAACGACAACTACAAGACCAGTGCAAGAAACGAAACATATTTCACGACACACCTGTTGAGGAAATTCTAAACCAGTGGAATAGTAATTTCGAGGATGAAACGTTGACGTTGGTGCCTAATGAATACCGTCCTTTGGTTGCCAGATGGATAAAGTGGTCGTTGATGATCAACAATTTGCGTGAAAATTTAGCGAGCCAAACTGCTGTTGGAGTAATTGGGCTTGTCAATTCTGGCAAATCAAAGTTTGTCAGATCCCTGTTTGGAGAAGAGGTAATTTTGATTTAGGCAACAAAAAGGAAGATTGCGAAAAGACCGTACTAAATTTAGTAAAATTATTAAGTTGGGCAGCAAAATATTGTAAATTAAGGAAAATATAGCCATGCGAAGTTGGCAATTTTGTATACTTTTTCAGTACGGCCGGAAGCGTGTAACTAAATTAGCTAAACGCTTCCGGCCGTAGTGAAAAAGTATACAAACTGATTGGCTACTTTGCATGGCAATATTTTCCGTAATACTTGACATTTTGCGCCCAAATCTGGCAATTTTACTAATTTCGGTATGCTCTTTTTAGCTGTGGTGATTTATTTCCTTCTTGTTGCCTAGATCGTAAGTTGGTCTATTATGCCAAAGGTCCATTAGATAAAGGGAAATTAATTAAAATGCAGGGTAAAAACTGGGGAGGGTATGGCAAGCCATTTGTAGCAATATTCAACCAACCGTATTTCAGCATTAAACAGTATCGTTCAATTAATTCTTATGTGTTATAAGTAGAAAATTCAAATATCAACCAAACCGTTCAACAAAATTATTCAACATTCAACAAAATTATTTTTATTCAACAAATTTATTTTATATTCAACAAAATTATTTTTATATTCAACAAAATTATTTTATATTCAATGAAATTATTTTATATTCAACAAAATTATTTTATATTCAACAAATTTATTTGATATTCAACAAAATTATTTTATATTCAACAAAATTGTTTTATATTCAACAAAATTATTTTATATTCAACTGTCACAAATCACAATCGCTAAGGGGGACGAAGGGAAGATGTGTGAACACTATAATAGAGTATGTGATACATAAAGTAACTGCACTCTGGGATTGGCTCTGGTAGATACCAATAATTTACCAATAATAGATACAGAGCTGGAACTAGTGTACGCACTTTTTTAGTGCGCATGCTCGGTAACTGAGTCTTGTTTACTCTGTGTGGAGTCTGTGTTCTGGCTTTGTGCTTCCGGTTTGGATTATCCCAGGCGTCCCAGAGCAAGAATCGTTGGCATCTGTTTTTTACATGCACATGTTACCACTATACCACTAAAGCAGTGATTTTTACCACTATAAAGCAGTGATTTTTACCATGGATACTTTAGCTGAACTAGAAATTAATGATTTTAACGCAGCAGAAGACTTGCCCCTGTTTTTTAATTCAGTTCTCGACCGGGCGGAAGATGTAATAAATGCTAACAGCGGTAATATCAATGAAGTGCAGGCATGTCTGACTGTTGTTGATCGTACTATAAGCCTGTTGGGATCGATACGCCAAGAAGTTGCTGAGGATGATAGCCAAGATTGGCATGCAATTGAAAACTGCTTTAAACTCATACTACAAAACTTACATGGCCATTTGCTAGAAATTTCTTGTAGACAGACAACGTTGACTTCGCAAAGTTGCAATATTGAGCGTACTGGACAACCTGGAAGACCTGCATTTAATGTCCAACCTGAAATGTTGGAAGAACTTTTGGCTTTGGGCTTTAGTAAAGAAAGAATTGCGAGGACATTTGGCGTGTCTAGATGGACTATTTACAGAAGAGTTCGGCAATACAACTTGCAACATTTAAGCGACTTTACCAATTTATCAAACACAGAGATAGATGAACTAATAAGAGATTATATTAGTCGCCACGGAACAACGACTGGCGAAGTGTTAATAATGGGTTACCTTCGTTCTCGTGGTTTACACGTGCAAAGAAGAAGAGTTCGTTGTAGTATGGCTAGAATCGATCCAGCAAATTCTGCCTTACGGTGGGGAGCAGCCGTTTATCGAAGGCGGTATCAGGTTCCGTGGGCTAACTCATTGTGGCACCTTGATGGACACCATTCTTTGATAAGGTGGGGATTAGTGATACATGGATGCATAGACGGGTACTCGAGAAGAGTAATTTATCTTCGCTGTAG